GTGAGTCTGCTTGAACTCTGTCCTGTGATACAAAGTTACTCCATGCATGCACAAAAGCTTGGTGAGCTCAGTACAGAGCACAGGAGTGATTTATTTGTGCTTACTTAGTAGCAACTGCCTGGACGGTCAGTTGTCCAGGCTGCTGAAATCCTAAAGAACTGCTGCTGCTGTCAAAACACAGGAAAAGCCAAGATTCTCACGTGAGAGATGAGATCTGACTGTATTTGCATAGGAAATCTGTATTATATGGCCAAACTTTCAAAATTAGCACTGCTTGTGGGAGCATTTTCACATGGGAGTATAGGACTTAAAATAACACTGGATAGTTGAAAAGGTCACAAGAGGACACTAGGAACTGCACACTCTCACCTTCACAGTCCTCTTCAATAATCCTCCTTTCCCATAAAACCTTAAACAAAACACTTGGAACTTATTTCAGATATTCTGTTTCTATGCAGCACAAGCCATTTCTGGTCATGCTTTTTTTTAAACCTGCTGCTTACTGTCACCTTCCTCACGTCCACCTTTTCTTCTTTAGTCTCATGGTCAGTGTCAGTGTCAGCCTGTCTTGTGGAGAAAGGTTTTTCCCTGTTTTGTGTATTGCCTGGAGCATGCCTGTCCTTTCCTAGGACAGATGTTAAACTGCAGTAACTGATTTTTCTCCTTGCCACTGTGTTAAACTATATGATTGTCAACTGACATCCAAAAAGAGGAAAAATCAGTGAGTTTTTTAAGGTTTAGTTTTATCCAAATTTGCATTTTCTCATAGAGGAAAAATAAAAATGTCATACAGAGGGTCTGATAGAGAGCAAACTGTATCCCACCTTCTTCTATATGCATAAATTTTCTATTTTGACTGCACTCACCTCCTTAGTCATCCCAATCCAGACTTAACCTGGTTCCCTCAAAAATGAGAACATCACTCCCCACATGCCAATCTGAGTCCTGATTTAGCATATACTGCAAAACATTAGAGAATAAATTCCTATGCTTTTCACAGGTCCCCCTGTCTCTAATACACCACATGCCATGTATTTATACATGCAAGCAGGTGCAAACACTCATGCACAAACTGAACCAGTAGTCCACTTCTGCAGTGGTGGGTGCTGTGTGCTGCAGACAAAAGGGATCCTGCTGTGCCCATCAGACCCCGGGGGTTTAAGCAGGCAAGCCCTGTATGCAACGCAGCTCCTGCAACACAGGTTTTGCCACTGGGTTCCTCCCAGTCCTGGTAATTAAATCCTAAGTATGGGATTTAATGTAAACCCCTGTAACAGGGAGATCTCTGTCCATGAGAATAAATTTCTAAACATAAGGAGGCCTCTCCCTGGCCAAGGTTTTTGCTTTGCTTGTGCACGGGAATCACTTCTTGTCACAACTAAAAACTGACTGGAAGGCAAGAGGTTGCTGTGGCAAGGGAGAGAGCCAGCAGAAAGGCACTTGTTAGGATCACTGGAGGATGCCCGGCCAGCTCATATATGAGATGATCAGCCCAGCTGGAGGACAGGAGAGGTGGCAGCTGGGAAATGCATGGAAGACGCAGGCAGAGCAGTGCACAACACATATGGGTCAAGATAGGGAAAGGGAGGAGGTGGTAAAATAGCATGACTTTTCCTCTGTTCTTTGAGATAGCTGTTGCCAAGGCCAAAGCTAATGACAAGTAGAGAAATAAAAATTACCCTTCCCTGGTGTTCCTAGTTGATGATAGTGTTTAAATCAGAATGCTGGAGAAATGCAGAGGAAATGAGCTAGGGCTGGATGTAGCCCTCGTACTCTCAGGGCTGATACGTATTCTTACTGATGCGTAAGACAATCTCTATGCCCCTTACACACAGAAAACTGCAGGACTATGCAAGCTGGCATACGCATAGCCTCCTTTAACTTAGCATCAGCTTTCTTACAATTCAGCCACGTCTTTTGCCATACCTGACCGAAGCTGGACTTTAAATTCTACATAAAATCAATAAACTGGTATATGTATAAGGTGGAATTCATGTGCAATGAAATTCCCAAAGTTATTAAGGAGCTAGATTTTGGGTACCAGGTATCCCAAGTACTGTCTCTGATCCACCTCAATAGGGCAAAGATTGAATCCTTCCATACACTTGTGCAGTTGCCAAATGTGACGATGATAATGCTGATCCTGAGAAAAATTCACTCCATTCAGATGTACCATAAAATCTTTGTGAAGGGCAGATGACAGTTACAAAATCCCTCATTCATTCTGGAAATCAGACAGCATCTAACAAATGAGGTGAAAGTATTTGCAGTGTCTCTGAGCCTGACAACTGTACAGTGAACAGTATTTCATCCATACTTACTTCTTGGAAGATGCCATTCATTTCCATGATAAACTGCAAGTGCTTCAAATATCTCCTCCGGGGCTCTGTAGGCTTTCTTTCCAGATGGATGGATTTCATTCTTATTCTGCTATTACATAACAAAGGAGTGACACATACATCTCAACATCAAATGCAACCACTCTTTTATGGTCTTCAGATATGTGTAACATATCATCTGAAGCCAAATAAACTCTAAAGTTGTTGAATTGGGACTTCAATAGCTATTTGGAGGATTAAGACAGTCTGCAGTACCCATTTCATATGGATTTTTCATTGCTCCCAAATACCTCCAGAAAACTTACAAGCTGTTTTGCGTTCCACCTCTGGTGGGTAACAAGATGGTGCTGTCTCCTCTCAAATGTGTTCTTCCTCATCTTTAGCATAGGTGTTCAGAATTCCTTGGCCAATTACTGTAATTTGCCTGGTGTAAGAAGGAAGCTGAGGATGAGCATAAGGGTATGGTGTGCTTCACAGCTCAGCAGATCTGCTGTGGGGCTCACTGCTCAGCAACAAAGGCTAATCAAAAGCATTTTCCCAAGTGCATCAATCAATTTCACTGGATCCTATTAAATGCTGGACCAAAAATAAAAGCTTTGGTCTACAGCTTCAAAGCTCTGTGGCCCAAGTCATACTTAATTTAATACAGGCTCAAAATAAGAGTCAGAAAACTAATATTTATGCCGGAAATATAACATGGTGCAGGATTTGCTTCTTTAGTGTAAAGTAACTTTTTCCAGAGCCCAAATTTTATCTTCTGATGGGAGTTACCTCCAATAAAAAAAGGGCAAGGCTTGTATACATGTTATGATTAGAATGAACAGCCATCTCTCAACATTTGAGATGTGAGGGATTCAAAGTCTTTGACCTGCTTTGCTTCCCGCAGAGCCATCATTTGTTGGAGTGAGGGAACTGTCTTCACCCAGAGTCTCAGCTGGGACAGATCTTTCTCTGCATTCAGCTTCAAACACCAGGGCCTCAAGAGACTGGTCTTCCTCCTAATTTTAAGCAGAACTCTAAAAATAGGTTCTGTGTAATTTTGTTTTCAGCTGGACTATCTGGCTCTAGGTGGATTTTTTCCCTTCTAGTAATTCTCTAAATCTGTGCTAAGAAAAACAAACATTATTTAGATTGTAAGCTCTTTGAGGGGAAAAACAGATCTTTAAGGGATCTGCAAGGGCTCACAGAATCAAGAAATCAGATGAGCTCAAGGTACAGCATTTGCAAGTATTCTGGTAAAAATCACTAAACTCTATAACTGATATCGCTGAGATCCTGCAAAACTGCCTTGTGAGAAACCTATCTCTGCGTAGCCTTGTAATAAAGGTGGTTTCGAGTACGCTGTTAAGAATGAATGAAAGCATGGAAAGACTAAAATGAAGAAAACAAAAATCTCTGTGGCTATTTAAGGCAGGAGAAAAAAAGTGCAAAAGAGATTATATGCATAGGCAAGACTATTTTTCACAAGGATCCATGAATAATAATCATTAATACTGATTGCAGAGGCATTTGATGAAACATGCAGCAAGTCTAAACAGGGGAAAGCTGGCCTATGGAAACCACTGGAAGATACCACCAGGATCAGGGCTCTGTTAAGACTGCCAGAATAGAAAAACAAAACAAAAACAAAACCAAAACTTTTCCGTTCTGCATTGCTTTCTAAGTGCTCTTAAAAAGAAAATGCTTACATGTGGAGCTGCTGTGTGCTATCTAACCCCAGGGTAAGCATGAGTTATTTTTGCCTGCCTTTATATCAGCTGGGGTTAGCTTGAAGCCTTAGCAATGCAGTAGTTTGAATTAGAGAACTAATGCATCCTCATACTGATATCTCAGACCATATCTATGGCCAGTTCTGTATTTTCAGCTGTTTAATCTGAAATATTTTGCAAAGTAACACTTCAGTACACTACATGAAAAATCTGCATACTTATGGAGTAAAAGCTGGTTAAGAGTTTCCTTAGAACATAAGATGTTTAAAAAAAACCTCAAATCCTGAAACAGGTGTGTTTGTAATGGGTGAAGAAAAAATCTTCTCATATTTGAGTTTGACAAAAGACAGGCAAAATCTTCTCATATTTGAGTTTGACAAAAGACAGCTCAAAGACAGTGAGCTAAAGGGGATTGCTGGACAAACAGCATCCCTTCCCAAACAGTGTAGTATAAAACCAAATACAAAATTAGTAATTTGCAGGTACATTTCACAGACCGCATGTGACTATGCTGTCAGATTTTAGCGTGCTCCAATGCTTCCTTCACTGCAGCTGTGATCTGCTGGTCTTAGCTACGTTAACTTTCCATACATATGTTTAGAACACACTGAAATGCTTATTTGGACCTGGAAACCCCAACCGCACATGGGACGAGGGGAAGGACCAGGCTCGATGCCTGCGATGCGCAGCCAGCCTTCACAGAGCTCCGCTCCATGAGGAGAGCCGAGGGTTGGCACCTCGAGCCTCCACGGGCCCGCGGAAAAAGGCGGAACTGAAGGCTGTCCCCACGGCCTGCTTTTCACGAGGGGAAAAGAGAGCGGCTTACACCCCCTGGACCCACACGGGACACAGTCCCGATGCCCGCCCGTATCCTCACAGCCGGGGCGCCCATCACCCCGCAGGGATCCGGCCCGACCTCTCGAGCCGCACCAGCCGTGCGGCGGGGTTTGGCCGCCGCCATTTCCGCGCGGCAGGAGGCGGAGCTGGGCGGCGCCGGGGCAGGCGATGGCGATGGCGGCGGCGGGATCGCTGCCCGCCGTGGCGGCCGAGCCGGGGGCCCGCCTGGAAAGCGTGCGGGTACTGGCGGGCCTGTTCCGGGAGGCGCAGCACAGGTAGCGGGGAGGAGGGGCCGCCCGCGGCCACGTGCGGCGGAGAAGGGAAGTCCGGCCGCGGGAAGAGCCGGTGCCGGCGGGCCTGGGAGGTGTCTGGCTCGCTGCTGCCTCCAGCGTGTTAATGCCCCTCGGGCAGCGGGGTCCGCAGGGAAAGGGGTCCCGCAGTGCCCACAGACGGACTTGTGTGCCGCCCTCCCTGCTGTGAAATCTCTGCCTTCCCCCCAAGGGCTGGTGGTGTGGGGCCCGGGGCCAGTAAGGGTGACATGTTCCTCCTTCGCTCCTTTCCTTTGGGGTCCCATGAGGAGCTGGCAGTCTGCTCATCTGCCTGAGGCAGGCCCAGGGCAGGAAGGAAAACTTAGTGCCTCCCAGTCACAGGTGACAGCAGTTGCACTAAAGGCCACGCTGAGCGCTGCAGGGTGGCTAGAAATTGGCAAGGTGTGTGTGTCCGCGGCCTTGCTGGGTGGCTGCTTCATGCGCCTGCGAGGCCAAGGCTTTGAGATGAGGGTGGCGGTTGTAGGCAACTGAGGGCAACTGCTTTGTGATAGGATGGGCTGCAGGGCTTCACTGGGAGGAAAGGTTGGATGCCCCTTAGCGTTAGGGTAGGGAGAGAAAGCATGGGGCTCTTATGGAGGGTAGTTGTGGCTGTGAGACCTCTGCAGTATTGCACGCCACTTGTTGGCTTTGGCGGAGGTTGGGCATGCAGATGTTCAGCTGTGTGACAATTCTTAGAGTAATGCTTTTCACTCTGCCTGGGAGGTGGGAGGAGGCATAGGTTGATGTGAAGCTTGTGCTCACTCCTAACAGTAGCTGTTTGAAAGGGTCAAACAGCTTTGCACCTGAGAATGAAGAAATCAAACTTCATAGCTTAGCATAAAATTGTGGTGATGGGTGCCCTTCCCCCACCATCATCCTCCCTCTCCTCCCCTCTCCCCAGCTCTGTTTTTGTTAATTCCCAGTTCTGGTTTTGTTAATTAAATCCAGATTTAAAAGTCGAGCTTGGGGGGAGAGTGAAGATGTACTTTTTATCTCGGAAGAGAGTAGGACCTGTGAAGATTTTGGACTTACTTATTGGTGTTTTCCCTGGCTGTTTCATGCCTTCCCTGAAATCTCTGACAGTGTTTGACAGAGGAATGGATATTTCTCCCAAATAGCCAAGTTTTGTGGGTACAGGTAGGCCAAAAGAGAGGCACTGTAATGGCCCTTCCAGAAGGACAAAGCTGTAGTGTTAGCCCACATCCAGAATGGATCAGAATGGATCTGAGAGCAATTTTGGCACTAAATTTGCCAACTGTGGAAAATGCTGAACCAGAAGATGCAATCCAATGGATGCTTGGTATTTGAAGTTATGATACTTAATGACGATTGTTTTGTTATGATGTGATTGTTCAGTGCTTGTGGAAACAAAGTAATTTTAAATTGTGAGTGCTAGTGGTCTGTAATTCAGAAGCAAATAAGGTGAGAAAATACTGCCTCAGCTATGAGACTGTGGTGTGGAACTTGGGAGACTGAATTCAGCTGGGTGCTTTGGCCGAGACTTCCAGTGCTTTTGAGCAGAGGATTGATTTCTTTACGCTTCCATTGCTGATCTACAAGAGGGAGAAAATGGTTTTATTCTGTTACCAGGATATTGTGAAGATAAATGCTTTAAAGGCTTTTTAGGGTCTCTGTTTATAGGTACGGAATTGTGTAAGTATCTAAAACATGGAATGGAAATGCATATTTAAAAGCTACTGGATTCTTTGCATAGTTCTTAACTAATTTCATGGGGTTTGGAGACCTGCTCTTTTGAACAGGGTTACATTAGTATTTTTAACTCTGTTCACTAGGATGTTATCTTGTACAGTTTTGTTTTTAAAGTCAAGCATGTAGGTCTTGCAAGGAGTGACAGTAATCTTTCTTTTGGCATGGATACATGAATTCTGATTCTTTGTTTTGACTTAATGAGAAATTGTGTATGTCTTCCTTGTCTGAGAGCTGGGCCGTTGTACCCTTTGCTTCTGCTTCCTTTTGTATTCCTGCAGAATACTTGATGCTGAAATCAAGGACAGGTGGGAGTAGCAAATTGTGAAGATCCTGTTTTAGGTAATGGAGTAAAGGAAAGAGAAATCTGTGGAATACCCACAGAGCAGTTCTGAAAGAATTTCATGGCCTGGGCCTGTTTACAATAGAAGATATTTTTGAATCTGAAAAGCTACTTAGCAGGCTTTTTGCTAGTTTTATAGATTGATATTTAAAGATTAGGGAAACACTTGTGAAAGGAAAATCCTTTAAAGAAGTACATTTTAAATACTTGTAGCTGCTATTTTTATATGTATGTGAATCTTTGTCGTACTGCTGGAAAAAAGACTGTTCTTTTTAAAAATAGTTCTAAGCGTTGCTTGGAACAGTTACCTGAAGCCACTCCTGGCTGATTTCTTAGTGTTAGCTAAACACTTCCTGCCCTCCTCACTAGTTTGAAAATTTAGTTTTTGTGCAGAAGGATGATTTTAATTAAATTCCTTTGTAGCGCACATTCAAATTACATTGATGCTTAAGTAAGAGTTGATTAAAATTTCCTCTGCTTTATACCAAACAGCCTTTAAGTCATTCCATGGTCATTTGGAATACTTTTTGCATGTTCACTTAGGCTTTTCTGTTGCAGGAAGAGATTTGATTTCTGCCCAGAAATGTCTGGCTTGAGCACATGTAATTTTTCTTTCACAGTGTGCAAGAGAGATTTGAAGTGCTGTCTCTCCTCACTGATACGTAAGAATCCACATCTCCTTCCACATGCAGAGTGAGGACAGGCATTTTCTGGTGTACCTCATACTTGCTTTGTTAGGATGAGTTTTGTCATTGTATTTCACTGGAAATATCTGCACTCCAAGGCTGGGTGTTTTTAACTTTCAGTCCAAATTTGAAAAACGAAGTTGCCACAGTGGCTTGGTATGCATGTGGTCCAGTGTCTGGCTAAAACTTCTGTTTTGCTGCATAACTCTGTAATGAGAGTAGAAACTTCTACAGGTAAGAATAACTTTTAAGGAGCTGTTTTAATGGTAGATCACAAGAATGTGCGCAAAAGTACTTGCAGCTTTTTTTTTAATTTGTTTTATTAACTTTAAATAACTGAATGTCGGGCAATAGTACATTTCTGTATTTTTAAGTTGGGTCAGGAAATGACTAGTTTCATGTGATAACCCAACACGTGGTGTAGATATACACAAAGGAAACTGCAGTTGGACCAAGAGTTTTCCTATTTTAGAATAATTTTAGTGTTTAAAAACTCAGTAGACCAACAGCTAATGGTTCTGTATGGCATCTTCACTCAATAGAGAATACATGGCTTTTGTGTGTTTCGGACAGGGCCTGGCTGAGTGCTCCTTTACCAGACCATAGCTATTCTGATGTTTAGAAAAACTTGTGTCTGGATGCATTTGCCATGTGTACTGCGGCGCGTCAGCCGCTGAATCTCTTTTGGCATGCATGCCCGTCATGAAGCGGCAGGAGGTGTACCACTTCTTATATGTCGAAGGCTCAGGACCCATGAATGTCTTTTCTTAGATCTTCGAAACTAAACAAAATTCCAGACTTTCTTTCCGGTTATGTAAGCTCCACTGTTTTCTTTATGACTAAAGCCAGCTCTGCTTTTGGTCTTTGTTGTGCTACTTTAGTATTTTCTCCTCAGGATTAGAATCATAGAATGTTTAGGGTTGGAAAGGACCTTAAAATCATCTAGTTCCCTGTAAAATGTATCTTGATGCTGTGGTGTTTGTTTTTTTTTTTAATATTTTAATGGAGATTGTGTAAATGTGTTCATTTTGATCAACTGGGAGGTTCTAGAATAAAACACATATTTCCTGGAGATCTGATACATAATGTTGTAGTAACTTAATGGTATTTGTAAACATTGTGTTTCTTACAGTACAGGTGCTCGCCCTTCTTTGTAAGTCTACTCCACACCTTAACAGGCTTCAGTATTGGATGCAGTGTACTGTCAGTAAGATGTATATGAATATGAAAGTGTCATTGTTGAAACAACAAAAGTGTTAAGAGGCCTAGGAAACATGAACTGTAAGCAAAGATTGAGAGAATGGTTTTTGTTTAGTCTAGGAAGGAGAATGTAGAAGGAGCAGCCGTGGGAAATACAGTCTTCAGACATGTTTAAAGGTGTTACAGGTAGGATGTGTAGACATGGCATTTAGGGACATAGTGGTGGAGTTGGCAGCCTTAGGTTAACAGTTGGACTCAATGATCTTAAGGGTCTTTTCCAACCTGAATGATTTTATGTTTCTGCAGTTTGGTTTATGAACATGTGATCTCTTATGATAAAGAGCAGGCAGAATTTTCAGTTGTGCAGATGTTTAGGCCTTAGAGCAAGCAGCTGAATGCAGCTAATACTGCATCATCCACTAATGTTTGATCGAGATTTTAAATTCTCCTTTAGGAAGAGTTTTCTGTGTGAACATCTTTTGGTTTATATACTTTTGTTTAATATTACTTTCCATTTCATCTAACTTTCTTGTGTTCATAATTTAGGAGGTATTTCTCAGACTTGTGTCTTGGATCCTAACTTTCCTATTTGATCTTGTGCACATGACAAACCTGTTTTAAGGTTTAAGGAGGCTGCATCTGGATTTCCCTTTTTTTATTCTGGTTAGAAGTATTAGATGAGTAAATTTATTGGACTTCCCTGTAGCAATGCCAAAAACACTCTTTGGTGTGGTTTCTTTTCAGCATGAAATATCTAAAACTAAGTTAGCAATGTTTGTAATGTGTTGCTCTCATATCTTTTCTGAACATAAAATCAGGGAAGAGGGCATGTGAATAGCTGTAGTTTGGAAATGTGCATATCTGCATGACAGAGCATCTGCAGATGTGCCTGTCAGTCCTGGGGAGTCTGGTCAATCTATGTGGTGCAGCAGCATCAGCTCTTTCATCCATTCATAAAGTGTCTCTTTATATGCTTATGGTTTTGTAGTGTTGTTTTCCTAGGTCTTGATACTCTAAGAAGTGACGTGGTACTTTTTGTATTGGCATACAGTTGTCTGCTGAAATAGACAGAGTTGACTTTCTCCCTTGGCTTTGATTCACACACTTGAAAATGATGCTGATGCAGCCACTGGCTTTCTGCATGACTTCTCTTTCTCCCTCTGGTGAAATCTGTGGCAGGGTATTTTATAATGGAGCTTCTGATACCTTTTTTTTCTGAAACGTATGGTACTGGACATCTAAACACTGTTCATGAATTAAAGCAATTCCTAATTCTTAAAAAAAGGTAGTGTCATATGCTAGCTACATGCATTAGGGAGACTTCTTTTTAAAATTAAGATCCCAAAGAGCTGTTGGAAAGCTGTGAGGAATACTAAGGCAACACAACTCTCCCACAGCTCATCTTCTGAAAAGGCTGGTGGAATGATTGTATGCATGTCTTTTGCTCTCTCTACTTGAAAGACCTTATATGCTATGGATAGTTAAGAGATTGTTGCAGACACATCTTCATGTTTACAGGAAGATTGTCATAGTACAGGCTTTTTCACAGCAGTGCATTTTTTTTTTGTTGTTGTTGTTGACTACAAATTCATTTGTTTCAGAGAAATGGCAAAAGAAGGTGTATTTCAGGATCTCCTGGAAATCCTGAGAAGCGTCTCAAGTGAGATTGAGCAGGCCTACAAGGACTCCTGTGAACTGGTAGATCTAGACACCCGCCTGCTGCTTATAGCAGAGTGTTTCAGATGTCTGAGGAATGCTTGTGTTGAGTGTGCCAAGAATCAACATGTCATGAGGTATAGTTATGATCCATTTTAACCCATCCAAAAGTATAATGTTATGATGTTTGTGTGGTTTTCTATAGACATTATTATTTTACGCTGCTGTGTTAGTTGATTTATTAACTGGTATTTCCTGCTTGATTCAATCACTTGAAATTAAGTATGCAAGAAACAGAAATAGCTGACCTATTTATAGGTCAGAGTTTGGGGCACTGCTGAATAATAGAACAGAGTGTTTGTGTCCTTAGTACAAGTTGATTAGGCAAATGATATAAACTTTTTGGAAGTCTGACTGTAGAACTGTCCTTTTTTTCTCTTTAATTTCTTTATTTAACATAATGAATAAGTAGATAGTCTTAATTATCAGTTACAGGATTACTATGTTTTTTAAGGTACAGGTGTATCTGTCTGGCATGCATGACAAAGTATGGCATGTAGAGTTGTGCATATCAGCCCTGATACATCTAGAGATATCAACCCTGATACATATAGAGATAAACTGATACTAATGGATGGTAAGAGGTCGGCCTGTCTCCTTAAGTTATTTAGACTCTCTTTGCAACATCCAGGGGATGCTTGGGATACAGCCAGCTGTAGTTACTGAAAACATGGTAGTCTATATGCAGTTCTTTTAAAAAAAGCAAGCATCCCCCCTAAGAACCCAAAACCCACCACCCCCCAAAAAACCAAAAGATAATAAAAAATCCCAACAAAAAGCGCGGTTGTAAGTTTGTTAGATCATGAAGAATTGTTGTGGAGCACACTCTTAAAATTTGGGTTCATAGGGCTTGTCAAATTTGGTTTATTGAAGTAAATATAATTTTGACATGGGACAAAGTTGCAGCTTCTGTTCTGGGGCAGAGTTTTGTTAATGCCACAAAGTTGCAGGAATTTTCTTAGAAGGCAGTACTTGTGGAACAACATAAATTTAAGTTCAGGCTCTTGCATTTTTGTCCTGGCAGTGCTAGCACTCGTGTTGTGCATCAAGGAGCTGCTCTAACAGAGTTTATGTGCTTTTTATAGACGTTTGCTGGCTGGATGTTCAGCCAGACTGGGTTTCCTATTGTAAGTTGCTGTAGCTCCATAGTTACTCATATTTACAAAATGTGGGAAGCAGAATTGTGGGGCTGGGAGCTGGTGAGATTGTGCTTTTCACTAGCATGGTAGATGCAACCTACTTATGGAGATCTGAGTTCCATTTATTTTCTAAAGCTGAAAATTTCATCTGCTTATACTGCATTCTTTGACTTCTGTTTTTTTACTCTGTATCATGCACATCCTGGAGTGTATGTTGTCTGCCTCCAGGACTGCTGATCTTTGGCTGTAGAATTATTTTGGTAGTTTTGCTTCCAAATGGCTTCACTTCACTGATTTATCCCCACTATTGCCATGTTTTTCCATATCTGTCAGTGTTCAAGGTCAAGTTGGATGGGACTTTTGGCTACCTGGTGTAGCGGAAGGTGTCCCTGCCCATAGCAACGGGGTTTGACTAGTTGCCTGACTGGGTTTAAACTACGACAATGACCTTTAAAGGATTTTCCAACCCGAACCATTCTAATTATAATTCTTTCTCACTGGAGAAAGACGAATGATTAACTTCCCTGCTTTCCCCCAAGAATTTTGTATGCTTACTTTTGAACTGACCCTGTTGTTTGTTTGCTGGTGGTCACTAATCACTTTGTTGTTATATAAAATTCTCAAAGTTTATTACTAAGCAGTGTACAGTGACACTTCCCCTGAACACTTGAACTTCAAAAAAGTAAAGTTTTTACACAAATAAAGCTGTTTAAATTACAGGAATAACTTGCTAATTTTTGACATCTGATTTAGAGGAATAGCAAAAAGAAAGGGTACTTGGTTCTGAAGGTACTGTGTCCAAAGTTGTTAGTATGCAAGCTAATGTAGTAAACCTGTTTGCTTTGCCTCCAGTGGTAGTAGTGTGGCTACTGATAGTCAGGTACAGTTAAGGAGGAGAAATTACCATCTATTTCAGAGCTTCTGAAGACGTTAAAGACTTGCTATTAACTTCAATGAAAGCCTTTTCACTTTGAGTGTATTTCATATAAAATGTTGGCTTTTTTTCCCCCTGATTTAATAACAGGAACCTGGGTCTCATCTCTACATCTGTCCATTTGATCAAATTGCTTCATGGAATACAAATCAAAGAAGAATTGTTATTGACTGGTAAGGTTATGGATTTTGTTAAACATGTAGCCTGCACTATATTATGTGGGAAGTCTTGAGGTGGTATGATGTCACCTTACTGATGCATTTTTTTCATAGATTTGTTTAATTGTTTTCTTGAATTGCAGTTAAGAATTTGGGGGGAGAGGAGAGAGTGGTTTTCTTTATGCTGCTTGAAGAAAATCCAGCCTCAGATATAGTCCAGTTGTATTTTTACTCAACTGTTCCCTGTAGATTGTTAAAGGAAATATATGTGGAAACTTCTTTAAAATTTACCAACCTATTTGAATTGCAAAAGGGAAAAGTTCCTGTAATATCTCCATTCCAGATACGTTCTGCTGTTTTACTGTCTTTTTGTTTGATCTGCAAACATAGTGAAATAACGGAATACTAACTTTTTCTTTTGATGACACTTGAAATAATTTAGATGATTCCAGGAAACAAATTTTGGCTGTGACTTTTATGATTTTTTTTTTTTTTTTTTTTTTCATTTCTGTACTGTGATTGCTGGCCAGTCAGGGTAAGTGCCAAGAACTAAGCACTGATTTGAGTAGTGTTCAGATTTCCCTAATGGATGAGGGTTTTTCTTCATTCAGTGAAGAGAAAATCTGACTGCAGTATCCCTTCTTAATGGCAGTTCTTGCTCCTGATTTCTAGCAAACTCATTTCACTGGACATTAAGACATTTTCAGTAATTTTCTTCTTTATAATCTCTTTCCCTCTGTGTATTTGGAGCTTGATACAGGGCATTGGATCCCAGTCTTTACTGTCTGTGGTTACAGAGAGTAGGGAACATTTGTTTTTTCTTGCTACTTTTATTTCTTTTCATTCCCATTACTTGGAGGAGGTTTTTACTGGGTTCCTGTTGCTGCTTTATATCATTTTGTGAAAGCAAATGAAACTACTATCATACTTTAACTTACCCTCAAATACCTCTATAAAGCTGGGAAAGAGCACTGTAGTCCAGGATACTCTTTTTTCCTTTTGCTGCTATAGTTGTCTCAAAATGAAGCCTTTTAGGCATGTAACAGTATTGTGCTTAAGCCATGTTCACTCCTTCATCTGTTGCTGGAATCCTTCTTCCAGGGAAGGATTGGTGATGCACAGCCCTTCAGTGTGGGAGGACCAGAACCAAACCCTGTGTGGCAAAAAGAGGGCTTGATCAATGACTGTTAAGAGGAGGAACTGATAGCACACAGGAGTGACTTTCAAGCTGTGTCACACAGTAGGACAGGGAGGACTGGGAAGAGGCATGAAGGGCAAGAATGTTGTGAACCTCTTCCTAGATGAGTAAGAGAAAAGGAAAAGTGATGGGAACTGAAATGCTTTTTTTGTTCAGCCTGATGTTGACCCCAAGGATGAGGGTCCTTGACAGCAGTAGGCTCAGAGGGCTGCCGTGGGGAGTTCCCACCTTCAGCTTATTCAGAGCTTCAGGAATTGCAGCATGGGAATATCACCTTTCACTGGTGCCTCCCAGCATTTGCAGGAGAGCGAGCAGGATGTACCTGTCGTTGGTTACATGCATGGCTGGATATTTCCTCTTTAATCTGGTGGCAACTGACTTTTCCTTGATGGGTTATCATATGCATGTGTGCTATTCTGCTGCTGTTGGGGTCTGAAGAAGCAGCAGTGAATGTTAGAGCACCAACCCCTTCCATAGGGCATACCTTGGAAGTTAACAGTTACATTCCACTGTGGATTATTAGTCATACTTTCAAAAGAGATGCAAAATTGGATAGTGCTGTTGAAACAAAAGAAACCCCTGAAATTAGTAAATATTACTGTGTTTATTAGCTGTATTTCTACTTCATGATTGATTTTCCTTCTCATATTTCACATAGGAAATCAAGTCACAGGACTAGAGTAGCAATCTTTTGTTCTAGCAGATAGTTAGGTGTTAAGTGGAATATTTCAAGTTGTTCATTTAGATGCGTGTCCCATTTCTGCCCTTAAATGGCTGCTTGGATTTGATGATCCCTCTTGGTGCCTGTTTATATCCTTCAGGTATTTTAGATCCTTTATTGTTGGTTGCTTCCATAGCAGCAAAATACAAGGATAAAGCATTAATGCTGTGTCACAAAGTGAGCAACACTAAATGTTTGGTTCGTGTCCCTGTGAAAAATTCCCAGAGCAAATCATTGTAGGCTGAAGAAATTTGAAGTTCATACATTATTGTATTTATGAAGAAGAGAGATTGAAAACTCTTTATGCAAACTGAAAAATTAGTTTAGCCTCATCTATGGTGTGTTTTCACTCTTTATCCATTGGTAACTGTTAAGACTGGTAAGTCTGAATGATGTGATAGTTTTTGTACTAAAGTTCAGTGTAGTGAAATCTGTAATGGATAAAACCAGAAATGAAATAAATTATGTATTCTCAGGCCACTGCTGTGACCAGTGTGGTATTTCTAAGGGAGGAGACATGATCAAAGCAGCAAAAAAGGAAGTGCTGTGCAAAGTGATGTGATTATAAACTGTTTCTAAGATTTATTCAATTGAATCCAGACTACTTTGTATCTTCTTTGCTAGGAGAAAGACTTTTTGTAATAGTTTATCTTAGGCCCAAGTGTTATATTCATGGCTAATTTGCCTCTTCAGTGTATTTACTGTAACAATTCTAATACAATTTTTCAGCCTTTTTCTTTTTTTTTAAACACTGTTAAAAGCTAGATGAATTCCTGAAAGCTTGTAATGTACTTGTTCCTGCCAACTGTAGAAAAAGTTGTTGTTTGAGCATATGGTATGCCACTGAGGCAGTGGGCCAGAAAAGCTGCAGGTGAGTTAGTATGTCTGTCCTGGAATATCTCTTTAAGGCTTCAGAGAAGTTTAAAAATAACCAGTTAATTCTTACATATGGCATATAAAGGTTGTCCAACTCCACCTGCAAGCCAGTCATCCCTGTAGTAATATTCTTTGTATACATATATTAAAAGAACATTTTTCGGCCCTTCCTGTAAGATGTTGCTACAGATAGCTGTTTGGCCCCTCTCTTTCTCCCTGCTTACCTCCCAACACTAGTTGCATTTCATAGGCTGGTTTCTCTTCTTGTAGTTCCTTAGGATACCTAGTATTAATTTGTAGTGAGCAATTCATATTATGTAGTATTTAGAGAAGAGAGCTTGCTCTAAGGAGTTGCACAGTGAAAGCCAACAGCTAGATTAGTGCAGGGGATTGATAGGCAATGATGCTAAACAAGTGTTTGACAATTTGCTAAATGTCTGGACAGCATCAAGACTGATTTGTGACAGGTAAGTCACACATACTTGTAATTGCTCCAGCAGTCCTCCCTCTTCTCTGCAAAAGATAGAACTCCAAGTTCTATCAAGCAGAGAAAAATTCAAGTGCTGCACTTCTTGGACAGTATCTGACAACTGGGTTTCACCTTCATGTTCTTGTACATGCTGAAGGTCTAGGAAGTGGATGTGGAGCTTGGATATTCCTGGTGGGGAGACAGACAATGACAAATACTTCTCCCTTCTCCCCAATTCAAAATTAATTTGGATAGGGATTGAAGATGCAGGAAATCCATCTATTCATGTAGAAATGCTGCAGTAAGGTCTGTTACTTTTTTTTTTTTAAAGTGATTTGAGACCACGGTCTTCCAACAAATCATTAAGTGTCTGCAGAGTATAGATTTAATGGAATTTTCGTAGTACCCTCTGCATATCCCTTTTGTTTTAATTTAATTAAAAAAGAAAATCTCATCATAACAAGGGTTTTTGGTTTGGTTTGTTTTTTTTCCTCTGCTGTGGGTACAAAGATCAAGAACACTTGCCAGGGGAGCAGGCTGATGAAGCTGCCAGATGAACTTTAACTGAACTTAAAGCAGACCCAGATCTCTTAAGAGCTGAGAAGTAGTTCAGTATGTTAGGGATTGCAGCAGACGTAGGAAATATCCTTGTCAGAAACCCAAGTAGAAAATCTCCTTCACTTCATAGCATGTGTCTTGGTTTGGTTGTGAGGTTATTTTTTTTCCTTTTTCCTATGGCAAATCTTAAGCTTTCCAGCAGAATCTAGCAGACCTCAGGGAAGGTACTTTGAGGTTTGTTGAGATGATGGATCTTTGGATTCCAGAGTGTGAGATCTGGATTTACGATTCATCTCTGAAATCTGGAAAAAATGGGTAACTTTGTTTCTTCTTGATAAATTGCAAGCAAGGGCATAACTGTTTTGAAGCAAGCTTATATTCTATAGGCTGTGTCCCATCTGATCCTTTCATCGATTTCCACCCCTACCCCATCCTGGACAGAAGAGCTTTAATCTTTTTTGTTTGTAAATAGATCTTCTCAAACCTTTCACCGCTTCAAAATACTGCGGATGCTGAAGAATGTACTTTGAATTTCAGCATAATTGCTTAAAAAGCATTTAGCTGCCAAAATACTTTTCTCTCCTCTAGGATAAAAAAGGCATTGAATGCCTGATAGCTGCCCTTCATGGGACAATTTGTTGTGCAAGTTCTCTGAATGAGTTGATTGTCCGCTCTGAACAGAACTGAATGCAACTTCACCGTATCAGCTTCAGAGCAATACTGTGTTGTTTGTGTGTGCGTGAGAGAGGTGCTCTGAGCATCATGCCAACATTCCTCAGTTTCAGGCTGCTGATGATGCTTGAGCTAGCTTTAAATCAAGTAGCGTGGGTATTGTTATGCTGTCCTGATACCATCCTTCTTAAGTTTTTAGGGGTTTTAATCTACCAGGGTAAGCCGCATAAAAATGCGTTAATGGGAAGATGATAACAGCATCTGTTCAAAATCGGGGTCCAGATGTGCCAGCTTTGTTGTACAGAAGTTTAGGTCATTCACTGCTCTTAATGTTATGAAGTTCAGAAACGGTGGGTAGATTATCATGGATGAAAAGCTTGACTCCTTGAACAGGAATTTGGCTTTGCTTCCAATTTTCTGAGAAATGTTCAGGTGTAGTTAAACTGCTACAGATACTCTATTCAGAACAGAACTTAAAACATTCCTTTACAAGCAGGGATGAAAGATGATTCTATGTAAAT